AGCACAGCCATGGGACCAGAGCCAATCCTTCCCGTGGATTACTCACGAGTAAGGGAAACTCTAACTACATGGCTAAAAACACGAGGCATACAGAATTGGCATAATATAATCACGTGCGAACAGACAAAATTCTTTGTCCGATCACCGTGTACCAGATTGATCAAGCAACTTCTGAGATTACCTAAGAGTGATATTAGAATTGCCATTGGTCTCTTGACGGGGCATAGTAAGGTCAACTATCATTTAAGAAATCTACGTCTCAGAGACGATCCTGACTGCAGACTGTGCGGAAGAGGAGTGGAAACCACAGCTCACCTCATTTTCAGATGTCAAGGACTGGCTAACCTGAGGATAGATTTTGACGGATTGATAGACCCACAACGACCTGAAGCTCCAATAATTTTCAAAATCATAGATTTTTTCAAAAAGGCTTGTGAATTAAATTCCAGCCTTAACCCAATTTTTGGATAACTACTTATTGGTGTGCATTAGTCACACAAGCGGGCGTCTTGCAATAGGTTAAAAAACCTGAGCAACGAGAAACTACGGATACTACTGAAAAGTAGACCTAGTATGCTCCCCGTACGAATCCAATAATCCAATAATCCAATGCTGAACATAACAATGGTGGCATTGTTTGAAATGATTTAAAATGTTTATATTCATTGGATGAATATGCGATTTTTTTGTTTTCACTTTTACAGCACGCACAGCGTCCGAGCGAAGAGATGCGCTTAAATGGGCGCTATTTTTTTACTAATATACCGATAGCATTAACAAATATCTAACTAGATCTCGTTTGATTTGTCTTGATATATATCACAACGGCGGGTTTGTCGACTATTATGGCGATAACGCCATCCAAGCCTGCAGAACGGCTACGTGTTCGACTACGGTTGCGTCTTTGATTACGTGACCCGTCTCATACCTCAGAAATACGCCCGTAGAAGGAAATAACATGACGTTGCATAGTATGATGATGTGCCGAAAAAGTTGCACATGTACAGAATGGGTAACCGAACTCTTTTCGGCTTGGTCGATTCATCACTGCGGACATGACTTTCGAAACGACGTCTTCGTACCTAACTTCGTACCCTCATCTTACACCTTGTCAACGGACTTTCAATCACTGTTTTCATCATATTTTTGTGTAAAAAATTGAATGCATTTTAAAAATACCCATATTCTTAATCCAAGAAAAAAAAAAGAAGAAAAGAAAAAAACATGAAAGAAAAATAGACTTTCGAAATGAAAACTTTCGAGTCATAGACCATGTGCGGCGCACACAATGCGTATATTTTAAATGTGCACACTGCACACACATTTACATAGAAGTTTGACAGTTGTCGAAAAATTCAAAACTAATATTTTACCGTGTAAATGCGTGTGCACATTGAAAATAAAGGCATTGTATGCGCGCGCACTACCACAGTGGAAATCCCAGCTGGTTGCCACCGAACAATATTTGGCAACGCCAGAGGCCAAAAAATATGGATTGACTCATTTTCATCGAATCACCAGCGAGAGTGGCGCAAGCAATACAACACATATATAACATTATTTTCAAATCCGAGCGAGGATTCTTATTGGTTTGCTCACTACAATCAATTTAAAACAATATCAGTTACACGCTGGTAGCCATTCGAATAAATGAGAAAAATCGACGAACAATTTCCATAAAGCTATGGAACCACACACTGAACCTCAACTGACATCCAGCGTAAACACAAACCCGCGCTGCTGTTTGTACTGGATGTCAGTTGGTGTTTATTGTGTGGTACAAAAGGTTCACCACTTACGAGTCGAATATTCAATTAAAATAGTCATGGAAATTCGCTAGAAATATTTACAAAAAAGCGAAATATTTCTATTTATTACATTATGAAACTGTCTTTTTTGTCGGTCTTAACATTTTTTTCGACAAAAGCTTCTTTATATTATTGTAAGATTGGAATTTTTCTTCTGTAGTTTCGCAGTTTGAGTTAGTTCATTGAACTTTCTGCTTCATTGTCATGTCTTTCTGCTTCATTGTCATGTCTTTCTGCTTCATT